GAAAGAAAATAATTTTCATTAAAATTGAAAAATTGTGCTATGTAAAAAAGGAGGATTACAGCAAAATGCCCTTGATGTTCTCTCAAAAACAGAACCAGGCCCACATTTGAGGAATACCAAATGATTCTCATTAAAGTAATGAGAATATTTTCAGTGACATGTGCCTGACCAATTTTAATTTAGTTGGCAGGACTCACGGCAGCCAGAGACCCAAAAATAACACACAGCCAGAAGTTCCTGCTGAAACACACCTAACAGATATATTTCACACTGTTTCAAGGATGGCCCACCCTAGACAGACAGGTTGTATGGTCATATGCAAACTATTTTGGCATTAAACTTACATCCCTTGTGACAACAGGGACAGGTTGAATTTAATATATTGAGTTTCCTTTAGCTCTTCCTTCAAAAAATTCACTCTAACTTGAACAGGGTGAGCCAATAGATTTGGTTGATTCCAGCCCCTGCCCCACCCAACAAGCTAAAGTTATTTTTAACTTACAACTACTGCTGATAAGTATTTTTTTAATACCCTTTCAGAAAGAGAAACTATGAAAAACAAAATGCCATTGCATTTCAGTGAGAAGTAGTCCCTCAGCCAAGCTATAAACGGATGTCATTTTTGGTTAGAAGCAATGGAGCACTTCTTATTTATCAAGTTTTTCAGTCCTTTCTACAAATGATTTCTCTGAACAGCCTTATGAGGCAATGGGCAAGCTAAAATTATGCTGTTTACCTTTGAAAATATAGTTTTCTGAACAGGATAAAGTTTCATTTCCATAGTTTAAGTGCAATAAATAGTAACTAATAATATGCAGGCTGTCATTTCATTGTACAATCCACTCCAATAGACATGTTTTCCCATATCTGGAAATTAGCTGAGTGAGGTATGCTCTATGTCCTCACAACGTAAAATTTGGTGGGAAAGATAGACAGGGATTTAAGCAAGGAAAAGATGGAGGTTCAAACTTTGCATAAAGATAATAATATTAATCACCATTGGCATTGGCACCATTATAGGTACTTTACACATATTACCTCAATAATCCTCTTAACACCCTCTGAATAATATTATTCCCATTTCACAAATGAGGAAAGAAGTGTGGCACAGAGAAGTTAAGGAACTTGCCTAAGGTCACACTGCTATTTAAGTGGGGAAGTATAATTTGAACCCAGTAAATGTGGCTTCAACTAGGGTCAACGAGAGACCTGGGTACCAACTTGGGTTGTACCATACACTAGCTGGGATATCTTAGTCTATTTAACTTCTCTGAGCCCCAGAATCCTCATCTGTAAAACAGGAAATGCCTGAAAGGCTTTTATGAGGAGTATTAAATAGGATTATGTTTGCAAACTGCTTGGCAAGTATCTTCAGCATAAGGGGAACAAGTGCATTAAAACATAGTTTTCTAAGATGCCACCTTTTGACCAACTTCCCTATTTGCCCCAACAACTGATATAGTACCACTCTTGGAGAATTCAGCTATGCAGGGTAGGACTGGGGATGGCCAACCCACTTCCTCCCTATCCTCCTATGTTCTTAGAGGTAATAAGATGTCAATAGGGGAAAACATGGGAATAACAGCATCCCAGGGTAATTCAACAACATTTACTGAGTTAGTTATTCATTGCCTGTTATGTACCAAGCACCATGACAGACATCATGGTGACCAAGCCCTCAGACACAACCTTACCCAGCCCTTTAGGGGAGAAGCACATATCGCAAAATTAAATAGCCAGCACACATCCCAGGTAATCCGTTATACGAAGTTTTTCAGGAGAGGCAGCAGTTCGGTGCCCACACAATGGAACTCACAGCTACAGTGCTCACATTGTGTGTACTGCTGAAACCATCAGGCCACACTGGTCCTCCCTAGGCTGGCCTTTTGAAATTCTTGGAGTATCCTTCTGCCTCTATATCTTCAGTCTGAAGCTATGAATAACACTGATACCTTCCCTTTGTGATTCTCAAATACTCTGCCACAATAAGGCTTCTAATCACAGAGCATCTGCAAAGTCAAGCAACATCTGATATGAAGGTAACTGTTTCAAACATGGCCTAGCATATTCTTTATCTTGAGGTGCTCAGAATTACAAGGTTTCCTAGTAGAAACTGTGTGTTTGAAAGAGTTTCAAGTTAAGATTTTTAATGTGTGAAATCTAAAGTAGTCACTCATACTTCAGAAGGAGCTTAGGGTAAGATATGATAGCCACAACTTTTTTTTTTTTTGAGAAGGAGGCTAGAGCTGAAGGACTAGGGACAAACACTGAGGCTTCCTGAGATTAGCTCTTAGCCAAAAAGTACCAAAAAAAATGTGATTTCCTACTTGTGCTAGAATTTTAGAAGTTAAAAAACACTTTCACAAACTTTCAGCCACTCAACCCTTTGTAGTAGTCAGCTACTGACACAATAATGCTTTGTAATAAAAGATCACAGTAATCTTTTTTTTTGAAGTATCATTGATATACAATCTTACATTGGTTTCACATGTACGACACAGTGGTTCAATAGTTACCCATATTATTAATTCCTCAACCCCTCTAGTGCAGTTACTATCTACTAACGTAGAAAGATGTTGCAGAATCACTGACTATACTCTCCATGCTGTACTACCATCCCTGTGGCCAACTTATACTGTGATTGTGAATTACACAACAATCTTTTACTGGCATGCAACCATAAACATTTATTTCTTGCTAATATATTGCGGGGCCACTGGGGCATCTGCTCCACATGTCCCGTCCTGGGACCAACGCTCAAGGAGCAGTGGCTACACATGATATGCTCTTGTCATGGCACTGGTAGAGACACAGAGGACAAGCCCAACCAGACAAGCACACACATCACATCCTCTGTGCACATCACATTCACCAGCATCCTATTGGCCAAAGCAAGTCACATGGCTGAGCCCAAGGTCAAGAGGGAAGAACATAACACCAAGAGGCCATGTGCCACGTGGGTGCACAGAATGACCAAAGAGGAGGAAGTGATACCAATAACCCCATTTTGCACTCTTCCTAAACAACCCTGAAAGGCAGGCATTCTCAGCTCTATTATTTATTGACAGCTAAGGACATCGAGCCTCTAGAATTTAAGAATCATTCATCCAGGCCAGGGAGGCAATATGTTGCTCTAGCAAAATTAGAACTCAAATATTCTGCCTTCTGTGGTTTCTACAGACATGTAGCTTACTAACTACTATGCAACTTTAAACGTCACATCCCTTAATTAGAAGCCCTTGCTGATAGATATTCGTGTTCTCCAAGAAAGGGCAGACCCAACCTCAGCTCATCTGTTAGCATGATCACAGTGTTGCTTGTTTGTTTAGGACTTTCTGCAGTGTTTTTACAAGTTATTTTTACTATTATTACACTAATAAATTATTTATGGTGGGAAACCTGAATCAGAAAACTCTGGTTACTTGAAAAACAGACTTTTTAAAAACAACTCCTCCCCCCTCCAGCATGTAAGCTCCCAAGGCACACATAATTTCTTTACCTACTCAGCCTTAAAGGTTACAGTCCCTGGGACAGAAGATATTGATGGCTGCACAGGAAGGAATATGGAAGAATCAAGCTTAACCCTAATTCTTGAGCATGGAATTTTCACTCTGCTGGGACTACTCTGAGCCATCTCATCGCAAAACAGATCAGACTGTGAAGCATCGTAACAAGTAGTCATGAAGGGCAAGAAACCACCCTGACACCAGCAGCCTCCCACATGCATTCACCCATTCAAACAGCAGACAGTTATTGAAGGTCTCCTCTGGGCCTAGCAAGATGCTGGGGCACCCCTCCAACAGACCAGCTCTCACTGGGTTTACATTCTGCAAAAATTACCTTCCCCCCAAAAAAGCAAAACCAAACAGGGTAATTTCAGATTGCAATAAGGTTGTAGACACTAGCCATGTGACTCCGGGTAAATCCCAGGCGTGACTTCTCTGGGTCCTCATCGGGCCAGCTATAGGCCTCCCACCCCGGTGGCGGTGGGCAGTTACGAAGATTAGGTTGATAGGCTAACGTCTGCCAGCTGCGGCGTTCACCCCACTTTAATCCCCATCATCAGGGCCGAAGGGCAATCTGGGCCCCTCTCCCTTAACGCTCACCAAAACTAAAAACAAAACTCCTGGCCTGTTATTTCCAGAGAGGACTTAACAGCGCAGAGGCCGCCGAGCAAGGGAAGAGAAGGAGGGCACAGTGGCTCTTCAGAACAGAAGCCCAGCGCCGGGCGCCCTAGAGCGAGGTGTGGACAGTGAGCGGGGCTCAGAACCCCTAACCTGCCCCCGCGGGGCTCTGCCCTGGTGGTCAGAGTGGGATGGGGACTGCCCTGCTCTCCACTCCCACCCCGAGAGAACCAGAGGTGCCCGGCTTCCCTCTCCTTCCTCCTTTGCCGCCCAGGAGACAGGCGTGACAGTGTGAACCACGTTAACAGCAGTTCGCGGGCAGGGTGGGGTGGCGGGACTGGGTGCTGCCCTACTCAGCCCAAGAGCCGAGTTCGGGCAGCGAGAGAGGCCAGGAGGCTGTGACGCACTGTGCCCAGAGCGCTGCTCCGACTGCGGGGCTTGATTATGACGGCTCGGGGTGCAAGGGGGACCCTCGCCGGGGAGGGACCCGGACGCCGCTCTGGCCTCCTCTTCCCTGCACTCGGCCGAGCCCGGAGCCGCAAGAGGACCGGGCGCGGCCTCCCGAGAGCCTGGCCCTGCTCTCCCCGGGCCGGCAGCTGCGCCCTGGCGGCGGAGGGGGGCGCGTGGAGGGGCCCGGGGCGGCCGGGCAGCGGGAGCCGCAGCCTCACTGCGCCGCGTCAAGTTTCCTCCCGCCTGCGGGACCACGGCCAGAGGAGCGGGAGCCGCGGGCGCTTCGGAAAACAGGCCAAGCCCACAAACAAAGCCACGTGGCCTCCGGGCTGAGGGGGCCGGGCTAAGAGCGGGCGGCTCTTCCGGCAACACAGAGCGGCGGCCAGCGGCCCAGGATAAATACTGCAGCCGGGCTGCGGCGCAGCACTCCCGCCAGCTCCGCGCGCCGTGTGACTCTCCCCGGCGCCCGCGCCCCTGCGAGCGCAGGTTCCCCCGCTCCGCACCCCGAACCCGCCGCCCTCCACGCCAGTTCCCTGCAGCCGAGCCAGCACCCCTAGCAGCCGCCCAGGGCGACGCGTCCCCGAGGTCGCCGGTCAGTCCCGTCCGTCCGTCCATCGCGCCCGCGAGCGGTGCCATGCCATTCCTCGGACAGGACTGGCGGTCCCCCGGGCAGAACTGGGTGAAGACGGCCGATGGCTGGAAGCGCTTCCTGGATGAGAAGAGCGGCAGCTTCGTGAGCGACCTCAGCAGGTCAGTGGATCTGCCACCAACTTCCAGCGCTGCAAAACTGACCCAGGCTGGTTTCGGGGACTTGGGGCAGGTGAATGGGGGGCAGGTAGGGCTGGAACTGGGTGAAAAGGGAGCTTCTGGCTGGGGGGACGGGAATGAGTTGCCCGGGTTTCTGCAGAGGTCGCCAGAGCATGGGATTCCGGGAATTTGGTTTCTCTTATTGTTCAAGGTCAGCGTCTCTAAGTGGGCACGACCCCTTACAGAGCCCCGGGTCTGTAAGGGTCTGTGAGTATCTGACGACAAATGCAGGTTTTGTCTGCAGTGGTCAAACTCAGGGTCCCCTGCGGTCAGGGCACTGGAGTTGCGCAGTTTGCGGGTGCGGGGGTGCGGGCCCGCGGGCTGAGCCTTTCACCGCCGGAACGGCGGGACTCGGAGCGCCCGAGCCCTGTGGTCACGAACCGGGTGACAGAATTGAACACGGGTCCCGCCCGGAGCACCTCCGGCTCTTCCCACACATTGGCGACCACGGAGTGGGCACGGGGCATGAGTAACCAGGAAGACGCGGCCAGATGGGCCCTGGGGCTCCAGCGCCTACGGGGCGGACTTGCCAGCACTGGTTATAACTAGGAGCTGCGGAGGAGGGAAGGGAGGCAGGGAATGAAACCCACAGGCCTTCTGCTGCTGGGAGAACGAAGCATTTGCACTTGGTTCCTCAGTGGCCCTTTCGATGCATTTTCTTAGTACAGTAAGTGTGCCCCCCATTTCAGGTGATGCTGTCAACTGCAGAAAAGCCCACCTGGTTCCGGCAAGTCCCTGGACTCGAGGTCCCACCCGAGCCTCCGTCAGCCTGGTGTAAAATCTCAGGTCCGCTGAGGTCCACTAAACTGGTGCTCTGCTTCCCTAATAACACAGAAGTGCCAACTAGTAAGTTTCGTGGTCTGGAATCTGTCAGTCAGGTATCTCAACAGTTAGTTCCAGATCCTTGCCATTTGGGGCATGTGAGGAGAGCAGTGAACGTAGGTCCAGAGGAGATCCGTGCAGCCCAGTCACCTTGGGTGCCTTTTTCTCTGGCTTTGGCTTAAAATGTGGTCCTCCAGCCCTTAAATTTACTTCAATTGAGAGTTCTGTAATTGGGCCAAGTTCCCACTTACTGAGATTTACCAGTGATGGTTTGGTTGAGCCCTTGGTGCTCAATTTTAGGAAAACTCTCAAGAAAATAGGGTTATTGTGATGACCTCCAGCACCCCGATACCCCCATCTGTTTGTGATTTGTAAAGCACCAAACTCCTTTTGCCTTCTAATGAAAAAAACAAAGTTTTTAATTTGGGGGGGTCGGTCAGTGTCAGGAGAGACAAGACCATACTGACTTTCATGTTAAAGATACTTTGGGTCAGTCCCTGGGGAGTTTTGGGAGCATTACAGGGAAATCTTATTTATGGAAAATGAGATAATTTGCTTACAGAGAAATTAAAAGACCATCTGCTGTCCCTAGACTAATCTTAGGTACTCAAGTTACCAATTATGCCTAAATTATTTTCCCTGGACTGGAAACTTCCTTCTGTTTTAGTCAAGTAGAAGCTTCCTTCCTTCCTCCTTCCTAAGGATGGATGATCTAATATTTTGGTCTTTTTCCTTTATTCCTTTATAACAGTTCAGGTTCTTACTAGGGAGGTGCAGAAATGATCTGCTCACCTGTGTCACAAGGCTCACCCAAATGTAACTGTAAGATGCTTCTCAGTGCAAAACCAGATCACTGGTTTCAGCAGGCGAGGATGCAAACTGCAGAGCCTCTGGTTTGTACACAGATCCCCACTGCATCTGCTCCGGGAGATAAGCTGGTATCACTCCCCTTTAGAAGCATGTAGTGGTGCCTCTCTCTCCACAGCGTGGGAAACCTGAAGATGGTTTTAACTTACCACGAAAGTTTAACCGAGGCTGGGCTCAGGTAGCTTACCACCCCCTTGTGCCCATTGTGAACCTCCTTTCTGACCTCTCGCTGGGCACTGCCCCATCATTATCACCAAGGTGACCAAGGGGTAGAGTGACCACCTGTGGCTCTTCGATGAGTCAGAGTTTAGGAATCATTCCGTAGCTTCTAGCAGAGCAGCTAGCTGTTTGTTTTTGGAGTATTTTTCTCCCCAGCAATTGTAAATAATCCTTTCCCTACTTAGCATGCATAGTCTGCCAACTTCTTAAAAGCAGCTGGCCTTCTGAGACCTGGGTCTGTAGTCTCAGATATCCCCACTCTTTTCAGTCTTGGTGATGTTTCTCTGTGATGTCAGGTTTGGGCTGGGTACCTGCCTACACAGGTGAAGATGAATGCCTCTCCTGTTGGGAGAAAACAAAAGGCAAGCCCTTTCAAAAGGGGTAGAGAGCATGTGAAACAGAGGCCTACAGGGGCAGGGTGCTCTGCTCCAATTCCACACACGGTTCTGTGAGCTGCCAGAACGGGCAAGAGTCGGGGATGAAGGGTGCGTTTGGTGTGTTCCAACCTGGGGATAGCGTTTAGTGTTGAAGCACACCTTCTCTGGACTCTGTTGGCCATTCCCTCTTTAGTCCTGGAGCCCTGCCAGCAGCAGAAATGTTACAAAGCCCATTGCAGCTGAGTGCCCCAAAGTGAGTCATGGGAGAATTTCAGATACATTTAAACAGCACCCCTTGTTAAAAAATCGAAACTATGTAAGGTAGAAGAGGATGACAAGTGTTAAATTGCGTTGGCAGATTAAAAATTCAAGGAAACAGCTCGGCATGAATTGGGTGATCCAAGAATGCTTCAAGGAAGTGGTGGCAGAGGCAGCAGGCAAGCCCTTATCACCAACAAGCCCTGTCCTAGGCCCATCCTACCCTGAGGATGAGTAATGTCAGCTTTCTGTTCCTGAGCCACTGTCTCCAAGCCTACAGTACTGCAGTTGAAACCTTGAGTGTTGCTTTCCAGTATAGCTGAGGGTGAACCAGGAAGCTGGAGGTCCACCTGGGTGGCCTGGATGAGTAGTGCATAAGAAAATAATAATAATAATTAAGATTTTTATGAGTGTTTACTGTCTGTGTACAAGGCACTGTTTCAAAAGCTTTATACAGTAGGCTGTTTGTTTTACGAGAACAATTCAGGTACCAGTCATGTGAGTTTGATGACTTGTGTATGTAATGGAGCAAACTAGCATAAAATCTCATTGGCTATAATCTGTAGCTAAACCCTGTGGAGCAGGCCACAGCTTTCTTAAATGGCCTGAGGGCTTCATGTTTTTTTCTGCTGTTCCTTTATCTCTGCTGCCAAAAATGCTCTGATTTTGAAATCTTTCCACCTTGTCTAAAGTTTTTTTTTTTTAAGTATATTGGTATGTGTGTAACAATAATATAGGGCTGGGAGAGGTCTTTTTTTCTTATTTTAGGCCTAGGCCTATAAAAATCAAGATTAGTAAGAACTGACTACAAATAGCAACTTACTAGCTATTACTGAATTTAATGAGGAAAGCAGCTTCTTAACATGGTTTTGCTTATTTAAAAAAAATGTAAATGTCACAGTTCCTAAATGGTGGTAGCTTTTCCTGTTAAATTTTCAGTTGTAATTTTCCATTGGCTTTGCATTTCTTTGAAATAGACATAATTAAACTCTCAAAATAGTCTCTAACAGAATGGATTATGGTTTAAAAGAAAACATAAGTAGGCAACACAAATAAACCCATAGCCCTTCCTTCCAGGCCCCACCTCTGGAGTCCAAAACCTAATAACCAAGTGAAAAGTACAAGGTTTCTCTTTGGTTAAAGCTTTTCTACATTCTACAGTGGGAGAGCATCATCAATTATGTCAAATTCTTCTTAAGCTAGCTTTGGAAATGAGTCACTTGGGCTTAAAGCAGGTTATTGTCATTTCTGTGAAGAAAGCAAGTGCTCAAATTCCTTTGAGGAATGTTTTCAATTAGAAAAGAATAAGATGAAATGTAAATATTTAAAATTTCTAAGGAATGGCCACAATCTATGGACCAGGCTCTGAAAATTTTCCACTAAACCTTGCATGTGTGATTGAGAATAAGACAGCTTCGTTTTATGGTTCTCTATATGTGGAATTTGGACTGTACGATTTTGTGGGTGTGGGTGTTTCCTTTAAAAATAAGCCTTCGTGGGGTATTTTTACATACAAAATGTCCTAACTTTGCTTTCTAAAGCTGTTCTCCACTTTGGCACATTTGGACCAATCAAATGATCTTCTTTTTCCCTTCTCCTGAAATTTCTTAAGTTAGTTTTAAGGACTCAGAGTTCTTCTCTCCCTTTTTTCTGCCCCTCTTTTCCTCTTGACCTTGGGGCAGATAACTGGTTGGTGGTTTTGTACCCCTTTCATCACGCAAGTGGACAGACAGACACTCCAGTGTGACACAAAGCCTGGCCCCAAACATTCACTCTTGGCTTAAGAAAGTACCTCTAAGAGAGGACATTTCTGCAGTAATCTCTGTGAAACCTAAAAATATTCTGTTTCCCTGAATGAAAAGGATACAGCTAACGATATTAAGAAACTCAGTAGATGGTATCAAGCTTGGCCTTACAAGGGAAGATTAACAAATGACTGATTAGCCATCGAGCTTATCCCTGTGGGTCCAGGAACAGTGAGTATATTGTTGGTGATATCACAAGTAAGCATTTTAGCAAGATACTTACTGTACTTATTAAAGTGCTAGTTGAGAGACTATTGTAATAGATACCGGAAATTTTTTCAGACCCTCTTTTCTTATTTACCATTTATAAAATGTTCATGGAATGAAGAAGTGCCAATGTACCTCATTTTACCCAACAGATATATGTCCAAAAAAGATATAAATCAATCGCATTTTAAATTCAGTAGAGAAACTCAGAAATTTAAAGGACTCCAACATATGGGTGGTGTAAGAAAAAAACCCTAATTTACGTTTTACTGGTTGGTGTTGTAAATCCTGCCTTGTGCAAACATACCCTGAGAAGAACCTATCTTCTCATTAGATCTCAGTATTTCTCCTGCATCCCTTCTGTGGAAACTCACCTAAGATTTACTCTGAAGTTGCATTATATAATATAATAGTACTTAGCCCCCAAATGATAGCTCAGCCTGCTGAGGGAAATATGCACCAGGCCCAAGTTGAACCTTGCATCCTCAGAAACCTGTGAATTAGGCAGTTCTGTCTTTTCACCCTTATACATTTATGAATTGTGTCCAGCTTGTTTCATTTAGGACCCAAGGTCTTCACCTCGCAGAAGGATGCCTAGTGTTAGTCAAGGAATTACATGCAACCTAAACAACTAGCATTATCCACCAAATATCTCCTAGAAATGGAGTTTGTAAGTCAGATTTTTGTAAATGGGATCATGTTTTAAAGGCATAATAGAAGCATGATCATTAAAAGAACTTTTGGTACACTTTAAACAGTGAATTATATCTCCATAAAGCTGTTTTTTCAAAGGCAGCTTAGGCAGTAGACTCATAGAGCCTACTAGAGAATTGACTAGTGGTTACCAAGGGGGAGGGGTTGGGCCAGGCTGGCAGGGAGTGTGAGGGGGTAAAGAGGCACAGTACTTTGCAATCACAATATAAGTTGGTCACGGGGACTATAGTACAGCCTGGAGAACAGTCAATGATTCTGTAACATCTATGTTGATAGACAGTAACTGCACTACAGAGAATGAGAATTTTATAATGTGGATAACTTGTTGAACCACTGTATGGTACATTTGAAACCAATGTAAGATTGTGTATTAATACTTCAATAAAAGAAAAAGGCAGCTTAGAATGGATGTTTGTGCAAAATGAAGGCATTGTGTACTACAGTGAATCCAGTAATCACCCTTCCCCCCTCCTCCCTCTCACCCCACATTCACCATTTTGCTTAAAGTAATATTGTAGTATCCTGCATTGCCCTTAGTTAAAGAGTGCATGGCTGTGTGTCAAATTACAATGGCAGGCACTGTTGAGAATTCAAAAGAAGTAGAAGCCCCCATCCCTGCCTTCCACAGATATCTGATAATATTTCACCCTAAAAGGGGGGAAGTCTGTGCCTATATACACTTCTCTTGAGAGATTTTTATTGTTTTGTTTGAGAAGCATGTATGTTTGTGTTTTATAACCCAGTAGGTTATTTATAGAAACAGCTCATATTAAAGTATAGCTGTTACAGCTCATCCCCTCTTGTCTTCTGGTATCCCTAGTTACTGCAACAAGGAAGTGTACAATAAGGAGAATCTTTTCAACAGCCTGAACTATGATGTGGCAGCCAAGAAGAGAAAGAAGGACATGATGAACAGCAAAACCAAAACTCAGTGTAAGCCCTTTGTTTTGAACTAAAGAAGAAAGCTATTTGAAGATCGTTATGATTGGTTTTTTGAAAAAAAAAAAATCACACCTCAAATGTTAGACATCTGCTTTAATGTTTACTGTGTCATTGACAGAGGTTACTGGGATCTTTACACTCAGAAACCTGGCTGTGCATTTTATGAGCAAGATTAATGTGTTCTTTATCATCTTGTTTATAAGTCAGTTGCTAGCTGAGGTGTTTTTTTTCCCCTGCTTGTCACTTACAGTTGACATAGTTAATTTAGTCATTATACAATGATCACTCAGCTGAGTCAGTTCCAGTGCGTGCTTTCATTTTTTTGTACTGTGTTCTGAGGCTTTGAAAATAGATTTGTGTCTCCCTCTTTCCTCATATAAGCACTATTAACATTTCTAGATGCTGTATGTAAGAGTAGAGTTCTATTAATAAGAAGGAATTACAGATCTTTAGTTTAATCCATCTGCACTGCTTGGTTTCCTCATGCTCTCTGTTTCATTTCTACTTTTTATGGCCTTGTATAAGTTGTAGGCTTGGCATTTAAAACAACCTTGTACTTGAGTATTTGATGTTTTCCAATTGGGAGCTTTGGTATACTAAATCTATCAAAGATTTGGAGTGCTTCAGACAAAGTATATTAACTCCAGCATTTAGACATTGCAGAAATTAGGCATTTGCATCCTCTTAGATTGTCAGTAGAGTCTTTGTATTTTTTGTCAAACTTTTTGCACTTTTGAATAAATGAAAAAGAAGTTAGTTTAAAATCTTGGCATGTTGCAAATTTTAAAACTGTGTGTTTTTTTTTGCTCTGTTTTGTTTTTTTTCTTTGTCTCTGTAGATTTCCACCAAGAAAAATGGATCTATGTTCACAAAGGAAGTACTAAAGAGGTGAGCATCCATCTACTTATTAAAGAGTATGTGTAGCTTTATGCCCCTCCCCATAAGGTAGGGGGATATTTGGCAACAATATTACTTCAAATCATGACTGTCTTCTTGGGTGTGGGTGGTGGTGGCAAGCAGCCCACTACCCAGCCAACCACCAAAGTCTGGGGCTATCTCTGTAGAGAGGTGACTAGGTGGACTTCCCAGTCATCCAGTGAGACAGTGTGTGTAAAAGTGCTTTGTAAAGATGATATACCATCTCAAATGCATTACTATGAAGCCCTGGCCTTTCCCTCAGGATAGTGCCTCTCCCTTGTTCTAAGATCTCTTCAGACTTCAACTCAGTTAAGGTATAGCCCTGGAAAAGACATTTTAATAACTACATTTTAATGGCACTTTATAAAGCCCTTTTGTGTACATCTTCTCTCTGCTCAGACATGTGCTTAGATAGTTAGGATGAAGGCAGAACGATAGAATTTCTATCACTGTCAGGGACCTTGGTGAACATCTAGTTCCCTCTCAAGGCCCTGAAAGGGCCAGTGATACACCCAAAACCATCCAGATTACTCAGAGCAGAACTGGGACTGACTCAGGGCTCTCTACTCCCAGTTCCTTATGTGGTCATAGGTGAAAGATCAAAACTTTTTTTGCTTCCTCATGAAGCCTTAAAAACACTGCTGATGATCACAGCAAGAAAAGTGGTGCAAGGCGGCGGAGTTGACGCAAAGGGTCTAATTCTCCTCCCAGGAGTATGCTACAGTGACTGACCATCATCAGCTCACACGTCATATATCGAGCTCCAAACCTTTCCTAGATAAGCAACTACTTGTGATTTTCCCCTTCTAGTGCATGCAGAGAACAAGGGCCCCAACTTGGTACATGAAGAAGGGTGTTTGACATGACTAAAGCAGCCACCATACTATCCATCTTTGAGGCTCACGGGGGGCAGGCACCCTGAAAGAGCTTATCTTGGCACAGGAAAGAAGCAAATGGCCATAGGCTGCCTAAGTCAGTCATCAAGCATTTCAGTAGAATCCAGGCAGATTGTTCTGGAGAGTGACCTCTGCACCCTGTTTCCACATCCAGCGCCATGGATATTGCACTTTGGGGGAAGCATTCAACAGGCTGGACTTCTCAACTGCCATTCTAGATTCCAGAAGGTTTAACTACGTTGTACGGGTAAGTCTCCATAGACTATCCCGACTCTCAAGCTGAAGTGTCTTTCCAGGTTGTCTTGAAGAAGTTTCCCCCAGTAAATAACTTCTTAGGACCCTGAGAATGTTGAAGAAAGCAGAAAATGGACTCCTCCATTCCCCCTCCCCTGAGGTAGTCCAGGTTCTTACTTGGATCCCATTAGGATGTTCATGAGACCAGCCGTGACTGACAAGGCCTATGTAATACTTCCATGAGCCACTCCCAGCCCCGCGGATAAATGGGAGACCGTTGGAGGCAGCCAGGGCTGAGGCCCAGCACTAAGCGAGCCACAAAGCACCTGGGCTTGTTTTAAAAACCTCCTGCATCTCTGGTTGATCTCACAATTGTCCTCCTCCTTGTCCTGTGTTAGGTGACTAGGTGACCCCCAGGCATTCTTGGTTTAGGCCACAAAACCGATGAGTTCAAAGCACCTCAGTGCTTCTTTCCCATGACTCCCTAAGATCCCACCCCCACATGACAACAGAATTCAGTCCTATATTCACTGAAAGCTTGAAACTACTTGAGTCCCTTGCTTTCCATTTTAAACCCAATGTTGGAAAAAAAAAAGTTTTTAATGACCTTCTAGCAAAATATTAATGATAAAGGCAGTAAAGCAAGTAAGTCTATGACCTTCAGGTCCGTGATTCTTTTTAACTGGCTTATTGTGGCTGTTTCCCCTGTAAGCTCCCTTGTGCATTTTCGTCAGTGGTGCAGCCTGGGAGATAGCAGCCGTTTGGATTTTAGGTGCAGAAACTGGAGGGAATTTACCCCGCGGGTGTTGGCTGTTTGGGCATTTTCTTCTTCCTGGGTGGTTGTGCCTCTCAGTGCCAGGTCACTGAGTCAGATGATTGCAAAGGCTCAGCCAGAGCCATGACATTCAAGCCCCCTTGAGGCCTGGACCATTCACCTTTCATCTGGGCAGATGCAGGCCTGGCTGTCCCAGCTGACCTGATAAAAACCCAGGCCTCCTTGTAGGTTAGAAGTTCTGAGTAGACCTGTCCACTCTTCAGCTGAGCCCTTATTCCAATTCAAAAGGGATGAAAATGAGACCTTCTTGACGCAATGTTTGTGTCATTCAGTGTGACTCTGCCACATCCGGGAGGTCACTGTGCCCTGCAACCCAGTCCAGGCTGGACATAAGCCCAGGAAGATCAGGAAACTCTGTTGCTAAGAATATGAATAGTTTCCATCTCCTAGGTGTTAGAGGAAGGCACCAGGTCTGATGTCTTGATTACAAAATAGTTTTTAGATGGTTCTCCTTTCTACCTGTTTTCTCTTTCACAAGAAATAAAATAGGATAATAGTGAAAATCTATTTCATGCAGTTATGTGCATTATCACCTTTCTCCTTTCATTAACTCTATGAAGTGTAGGTACTTTTATTATCTGTTTAAACAAATGGAGGTGCCCCACAGTAAAACAATTTGTCCAAGGTCATGAAGCTACATAAGCAACAAAATCGGGATCTGAAATCTGGGCAGTCTTAGAGTCCATACACTATGTGAGCAAAGGATCAAAAGTAAAATGGCCAGAGATCAGATCCTAGCTCCCCCACTTTCAAGCAATGTCAGCCTAAGATTCAGCTTGCCCTCTGTAAGGGGACTTAGAATAATCTCAACTTCACAGGTAGCATGCAATTCAGTAATATATTGTCTGTGAAAATACTCTGCAGAGCAGGATCTATTATTTCAAGTCAGCTACTAATACTTATTATTACCTACTTACTAATGCTGATTCTCCCTAAAATGCCTTGTCAATTGAACTGATGAAAATGTTTTTCTACTTAAAGAATAATTAGTGGGGAATCTTGCACTTGATTAAGACTCCGCACAGAGAACTTGTGTCTGATAGTATCTAATTACAAAATACATCATGAGTGCTTTCCCTTAAATAATCTTTGAAGTTACGGAAACTGCTGAATGTCTTCAAAGTTGTTAGGTTCAGAAATAGTGGAAAAACATTCTATTTTGGAAGGAACAATCTTTTTTTCCCCTTCACTGTTACAGCCCTCTGTAATTTGAGAAATAATATGTTATTTTTATAAAGAGCTTAAAACACTTTAATGATAGACACCACGTTTTGAGGGTTTTCTTCTAAGGAACTCAATACACTTCTCATATATTCTTCTTATCCTTAAACCAACTTTGCAAAGTAGCTTGCCAGTATGTTATCCCAGCTTACTACTTTGACCTAATGGTTTCTTAATATTACAATGATTCCTTGGTTCCAGTAAGAAATCAAACCCACTTTGAAGGCCTTAAAAATTTTTTTTAATTTCTTTAAAGCCAAAGTGCGTTTTTAAAAAATGTATTGTGTTCATGCCAGCTGTCATCTTCCAAAAAAGAGACATGCAGAGGGAAAAAAAGAGATGGCTGATACTCCTATCTCAAAATTTTATAATTTTTGCCAATAAATATGAACATTTTGTCAAATTTTTGGAATCAAAAATTTTGAATATAAACTAGAGAAGTTTTTATATAGCATTTGTACCTCATTTTAATTGGCATCAAGCTATTCTCATTGTCTCTACACACCCGCCAATGTTTAAATACAACTTTGTATGTTTTAATCATGATTTAAACTCTTTAGAAGCAGCAATGTGCCCATTTAGGAAAGGCCATTTAAGAAGTTGTTTTACACCATATGCCTCAAGACCAACACATTTTGGAAATTTCCCTGGGGAGCTGGCGAGGATTCCAGGGGCTGGGCCAGCGGTGGCCTGGAACTTGGTAACCATGAGAAGGTGGAAGCTGACTAACTCACCAGGGCACAGAGAGGCCAGCAGAGAAAGCAGGTCTCCAGTAAACTAGGAGATGGCTTCTGAGACCACAAAGCCACTCCCAGCTCTCTGAAGTGAACCTGCTGTGGCCCAATGGTTCTCAACCCTGGCTGCAGTTAGAATCACCCTCGACGCTTCATCTGCAGAAGCACTCCTCGGGAATGCCTGATTTAATTATTGAGGGTGGCCCCCAGGCATTGCTAATTAAATTTATCCTCCTGACAATCCCAGTATGCTTTTAAGTTTGCGAGCCAGTTCAGAAACTACTTGGGAGCCCAAATGTTAATATTTTGCTTACTGGGGTCTTAAATAGAGGGCTTTAATGCTTTAGTGCTAGGATGACTTTTGATGTGGTCCTCCCAGCTCAGTGGGATAATAATGTGGCCAAATACACAATAACTGTACATGCCATCTTTGAGCCAGAAGGGTCCTGGAGAACCTTGAGCACCGGGTTTCCTGATGGGAACGAACTGACCCAAATGTGCTAGCAGATCAGGAAGGAAGAACAAAAGCCTGCAACCCCACTCTCTGTCCCTCTGCAGCAAAGCATATCACAACCTCAACCAGTACAAATTCTTATTCTTTCCTGCATTACCACCCTATGTCCATTTGAATGTGTCCTGCAAGTTACTGCATTTCTACCACCACTAAAAGCCTTTTCCAAAAATATGTTTTAGTTTAACTTGACTGGTGGTTTGGCAAACGAAAGGCTCAAATATGGCACTGTGACTCACATTCAAAAGCAATGCCTTAAATTAAGGGCGTGCTGCTGCCAAACCCCTAGTGGGGCATGATGTACATGAGCAGCCTGGCCCCGTCTCCAGGTCCCTCTGCCACAGAGACCTTGCGTTAATTTGCTACTGCACACACTCGGTAGCCTTTCTCAACAGAGGGTGGCCCCTGTTACCTGGGTCTTAAAAACTGTGGTACCTCTTTCCATTGGGACTGTAAAGCTGGAATGGAGAGAAAGAGGTCAGCTGCCACAATGGCAGTGAAGTCAAGAGAACAGAGCCCTGAGCCCATCTGAGAATGACTCACAGAACTGGGGGGAAATTGTGATTCCACTGCGCGACAGGAACATTGGGGGCACAGGTGGGTCCTTCATGAGTGCTGATTAGGCTGCGAATGACTTCACAGGAGAAAGTTCGCACCCCTTGGCATTCCTGGCCTTCTCAATCATAATAAGCATTCAGGCAAGCAGATCCTACAGTGCCCACAGAAGCAAGGGCATGCATTCAGAAGTGGCAGCTACCTGAAAAAGTGGGGAAGTCTATGTAACTGCAGAAGTAATGGGGTGCTTGCAGAAGTAGGAGAGATGTGGGGTTACCTGATGGTGACTGAGAGCCCAGAACAATGGTGTTTTTGACTCATGGACTACTAAGTAAATAAGTCATTTAAGTATATATTCTCAATTTATGTGTATTCATTTGTACATAGACCTATAAAGGGTGCTAACAATGGTATCTACCCCATCGTGTTGCTGTGAGAATTTAAACTGAATCTCAGGCTTTTGAACAGTGCCTGGTACAAGGTGAGCACTCAGCATCACTTGTCATTACTATCCTCTGGTTAGGTTTCTAATTACAGGCATTAGAAAACACACAAACATAGAAGTTAAAGATGAAAATATAAAGACAGATGTATTATGATTTTCCCACCTGATTTTCTCTCCTACCCCATTTTGGAGACTGCTGGATCAAAGGGATGCCCATTTGTATAAATTTGCTCTTGAGAACTCAGAATCTAAACATAGTCCACCATGGGCCCAGAAATATATTTAACACTAGAATTCTACCTAGCTTCTAGGCTAAGTCAGGTGCTTATTATGCAAGGACTATGCTAAATTGGATAGGTGAGCTGAGTTTCAAGTGCCAATTCAGCACTTAATTTTTTCTTATCCGAGAAGGGATGTTCCTGAGAGCATTTGACACTATACTCTAAGTTGCTCTGTTTGAGGATAAGAGAGGTGTACTTTAAGTACCTGTAAGCTTGGATCTGAAGGGTCCTTGAGTACTAAAGGAAGAGTTCTCCAACCGCAAGGAAGTGATAGCAGCACAAATTGCTTGTGAGGCATGGCCAGGATTTGGTGAGGTAGAGAGGTGAGGAAGGTTTGGCAGGGAAAACTGGCATGAGCAGAAACCAGGAGATGGGAAAGGACAGAAGTGGAGGGAAGGGATGGTGGGCCAGGGGTAAAGAGCAATGTGATA